TTGTGTTTGATTTGACCGTATAGTCTGTGTTTTTGTGTCCATAGATATATCGCAGAAATCGAAAGAGAAGAAGCGAAAGGCGATGACGATATCACTCAGGCTAATTAGCCGTTATAAATTTAAATTTGAACTGTAACATTCAAAAGGAAGAAAACAGAAAAAGAAACAAGATATATATTCAGAGAAAAATACAAAATTCTAAGAATATAATAGTTAAGAGAGTTGGTTCATCATTCTAGAAAATGATGAAAAATAATTACCATATATCTACATTAGAACCGTTTCCAAATGAACTTTTCATGGAATTATTTGAATATTTCAATTCTTATACTATTTATTTCTCGTTTTTTGGCATAAACCGACGAATTAACGCTATCATAAAATATTGCCCATTGTACGGTGATTTGAATGAAGTAACAAGAAAAAAGTTTATTCAATATTGTAGTCAAATATTACCAATGATTGATAAAAAAAATCTCATCTCATTAAAAGTGACAAACAGCCAATATGCTAGAGCGTTAGTTTATGATGATATGATTGAAAAATTTTCATTTATTCGGTCCCTAGTGTTTAAGAATGTTAAAATATTGGTAATAAAACAGTTATTTATCAAAATACCGCACATAAAACAACATTTAATCTTTATATCAATTGAACATTCAGGAAGTTAAGCAACCTACAATCATAATGAGTGGCCATTAATTGGTTTATTAATATCAGATCAAATGTTATCATTGAAACGATTGGAACTGAAGTGGTTTTGGCCAGAATTTATTCTACCAAATGTTTCAACACCGTCAACCATCGAGTATTTAACAGCTTCAGATGGCTGGACAGTTAAACAGCTCATCCAATTTTTAAAATATTTACCAAAATTAAAACGATTAATTACTAACATTAAGGAAGAGAAAGACGGTAGTGATGGTGAGTTTGAGCATATATTGATCGTATCCAGAATGTTGGTATATCATTTAGAATTACGTGGATCATATTATTCATCATTATATACAATCAAATGTTTATTTCAGTGTTTTTCTCAATTAGTAGTCTTCTGGAGTGGATGCACACAAAATATAACTGTAATGCACTCCTCCGAATGGGAACGATTAATTTCAAAATATTTGCCACTACTAGTAAAATTATATTTACACATTACTCTATATGGTGATAGTGCATCATCGCTAGTTGTCGAAGATGTTTTACCTAAAACAGATTTTTGGATTAAACGAAAATGGTCTCTTGAATATATAAAATTTGATGATCAGGTTTACTGCATTGTTAAACCATATAAGACGATATGATATTTTGTTCTGGTTAGATATATTTTTCGACCTCTAGAGAATAGAATTATGGGTGTTTGTTGTTGTTCGTTGATACATACAATAACATCATTTTTCGTTGTTTACTATGTGAAATATTATTAAATATTATTTTCTTTGCTTCGTCTGCTTATTTTTTAAGTATAAAAGAGAAAATGCTTAAATACCATAGGCAGCGTAATCCCTAAAAAATTCATTTGAAAGAAGAAGAATAGAATGAATCCACGTGCGATCGTGTCGCAGAATGCAGGTCGTCTGTCATCCAAAAAAGATTCCATCGGTGAGTTAGAAACTTTAAATGTCTTCAGGGTCTATAATATATGCACAAAATACGAAGTTTGTTATTAATTAAGGCAAAGGAGAACTAGTGAAAACGAAAGATTTATTTCATAATACACAAACTATTTTGAATCTCTACATGACATTTTAAACATAAAGAAATATTATATTCTAAATGTTTGTCTGCTTTTTTTTCAAGTATAAAAGAGAAAACTTGCCTACGTCGGATTATTCGACGATATTTTGTCGTTCAATTCGTCCTTTTTAGAGTGATATGGCCACTTTTATTTGTGTTTGATTTGACCATATAGTCTGTGTTTTTGTGTCCACAGATATATCGCAGAAATCGAAAGAGAAGAAGCGAAAGACGATGACGATATCATTCAGGCTATAGTGCATGCGGTTTTATGCGGTTGTTTGACTGGACGGAGATATAGGTTTCCCCCAAAAACCCTGATTTTTAAGGTAAAGTTGAGTTTTCGTATATGAAAAACAATTTTATGAAGACAAATTATACAAATTCGAAATCAGCGTGGAAAACTGCATCGAGTGATGTATAAGTCGTCAGTCTTTTTCGTAATTTATTTTGTGCAAAAATTCACGGGAGAAATCCACCTCGATGGTTTCTTGCCGAAAATGTTTTTTTGAACTTTAAGCTTTTGCACTTTTGTGAAGTCTAAGAGTAAGAAAAGATGATCACTATTAAAAATAGTCATTTTAACCTCAAAAAGCCACACTTCCGCGTGCTCTATAGAAAAACGTCCACTGTGTATTGTTGACTAACTTAAGTGTAACTATTGCAGTCTGATTCAACTACGATTATCCAGGCCAACCGCTGTGGATCTCTCACTCGATGTTTCTCCAATGATGAACACGTACACTATCAGCGAAGAAAACAGATTATTTCAGGCACCAAATGCTTACAGTTCTCCATTAAGGCTTACATAGTTTCTTCCATCTACCCTTTAACAGTCAGTTGAACGAGCTTTTGTTTCAGAAGCGTACAGTTGTTCCGTCAGTAATGTGTTTTCTCAGTTAATTCAGTTAATTTTCTAGTTTGGTTATTGATCATGATGTGTAATATGATTCAGCGAATGTTAAAAGTTAGAAAATAACACGGGAAAAGAAATTGCTTCAAACATCAGTCATTGTTTAACTATACTGTTCTTTACTGTATCATTCCATTTCTTTCCTCTCGAGTCGTAGCAATAAGCAATGTTAGACTCCTTGCACATTGTACATTCTTATTTTTTGACAGAAAAGATAGAGAAATAGAAAAAATATATGATGGAGAAAACTGTCATTCTGATCCATGCTTTTCTTTCAATGTTATCATACTGCGATATGTAGGCTAATAAGAAAAACTTTACTAGGAATCTAGCAAATAAGGAGATATCTCTTTTCACATAAGATATCCCGTATGCAAACATTTTTTCGTCTCAGATTGAAACGAAAGAGAACAGAAAGATATGCATGTGCGAAAAGAGATATCTTCTTATTTGCTACCCTAGTGGAAGTACTCATACGATGAGTACGACTTTACTCATAATTTGTCCATGAGTACTCACACTGGTACTACTAACAATTTCTGAGTATTGTTACTCAGTGAGTACTCAGTTACTCATATGAGTACTCAGGAAATATTCATTCACCGTTTTATTTTGCTAAACTGA